AAAAAAAAAAAAAAAAAAATCAACCCCTTCACAGACGGGCGTGTGCCCTACAAGAAGAGGCCATAGGCAGCCGCCAACATCCTTCTTTCCCCCGCTAGCATCATGCACGGCTGAGGAGATACAAGGAAGGCTCCGGGGCTGCTGGCTTCTTGATGCTCGGGCTTCAAGAGTCTCAGCTGCCCCAAGAGTCATAATGATGAAAAAAAGCCCTTTCTGGCCCCATTCGGGAACTACGGACCTTACCCAGGAACACAAAGACCACCAGGAGTTGAAAAACTGAAGACCCTGCAAAACCGCAACTCTCACCACTACAGACACCTGAAACTGCACATCCCTGCGTGCAGCACATATGCTCAGTACGCATACTCCACCCCCCAATTTTTTTTTCCCCTACTGGTTATGGATGTTTTAGTTTGCTACACTAAAAAGTCATCTAAATTGAAATACACTGCCAAACGTGTACACTGTTACAAAACTTAATTGCAACATGCCACTGAACTTGTACACTGTTACACAATTAAATCACTTAAAAGGGCAATTAAACCAGTAAAAAGGGAAATTTCCTCACATGTAGAAGGGCCCTTAGTCACATGTACACAGGCCTACTTACTATGACTATAAACAAGTCACAAGGCCAGACTTTTGACAAAATACATATTTATATTGCTAAGCCTATGTTTATACATGGACAGCTTTATGCAGACTATTTTGGAGTACCCAGCATGGGTAAGACTTCTATACCTTGCACCTTTACCTCCATTCTCAGAATCAGTGTGCCCATCTCCCCCTACCTCCTCCTCTCCTGCAGGGCTTGCCCCAGGAGCAAACCTTGCTTGATGTGCCTCTGCTAGTGGGGTAAATAGAAGTATTTGCCACAAACACAGGAAATACGTAACTCATTCTCCTGACATACTTCCCATGATGATGCTCACAAGTGAGAGTAGGTGTGATGACCCTACCCCACCAATGCATATTCCTTCTGAGATGACTAACTAGCATAAGTACAACAAGACATTCAGCACTAAAAGAAAAGCATGTTTTTTATTCTTTCATGAGCTTTCAGGGGGAAAGAGACTCCATGTAGCTTCTTTACTCTTCTAAAGAACTCTTTCTGAGCAGCTACATGGCCATGCTTGTTTAAAAAGGAAAGATATCTATTAGTAATGAGTTTTATTTATTTATTTTCTCCTGCCCACTAGTCTGTTGATTGCCAAGTCTATTTCACAGTAAAAATCAACACCGTTTTAATAAGTTCTGAGCTTCAAACTAATTTACCCGTTTCATTTTCAGCAACTAGGTGCAAAAAGATACCCGGTGGTCTCTCTACAAGTTCTTCCAAATGGTATATTTCACATTTCTACAGCAAAAATGAATTTTGATGTCCACAAAATTAACATCAAGTCAGGTTTCCTCTCCCAATCTAACTTCTTCTTGTTAATCTATATTTAAATTTCTACTAAGATTTTTTTCACTCGTCTAAGCTGTTAAATAACGTATGGCCCATTTTAAAACTTACATTCTTTGTCAAGAATAAATTATTGCAATACACTGCTATATGCAGATCTGCCCATTGATCTTCCCTCTCTCCACTCTGTTCAGCATATAATAGAGAAGGGCTCTTAACAGTTGAATCAAACCCTCATGTTTTATTTGAAGTAAAGATGCTTCAGAAATTCTACTAAATGTGGCAGAAGGACAGTATTGCATGTTCTGTCATATTCTGAAGATCTTCAAAATATTTCCAGAAAGAAATAAGTACCCAACCTAGTTTATGGGAAGACGTTTAAGAAAATTGCTGGTCTGGTCCCCACTATAAGCTTTGAACTTTCTTATGCTATCTCTTCAGAAACATGTGCTGAATTGAACATGGTCAGAATATACCGTGAAAGCTGGACATGTATTTTCCAGATAGATAACATAACAAAGAGTTGTAAGAGTCAAGGCCAGCACAAGGTCTAGCACTACTTATGTCTGAGCAAAATGTTTAAATATCTGTAGGCCAAAAAGAACACCCATAAATGGGCAAAGAAAACCCAATGTGTCAATCAAGTCTAATTGCACTCCTTTCTCTATTTTAGCAGTTCTTACTGTTATTGTCAATGGTGTGGTTTCTGTATATCCAATTTCTAGAGCAGAGATCAACAACATAAGGACTGCAGCCCATTCCAGTCTACCAAGCCACTGTATCTAACCTACAGACCCGGAGAGGAGAGGAGACGAGAGGAGAGCCCTTAGCAGCATTCTGGCAGGGGCACCTTTGTCCACACCCATGTGAGGTCTGTGCCACTGCTACTTTTTCCTGTCCTCCCACTGTCATGCCTGGCCCTAGCATGGGCCTGTAAGAGCCTTCCACCACCAGAATACCATTCAAGCCCCCCAGTCTGCCTCAGACTAGAACCAGGTTGTTTCAGCCCACAGTTTGGAAAGGGTGGCAGATGCTGTTATAAAAAGATTTAACCTGAAAATACCTATCAGCTTTGGAGGCCCTTGTAGTTGTCAAATGCAAAACAAGCAGCAACCCAAACATGTAATCACAAATATCATTATTGCCCTGGTCTATATATTTTTTATATTTCAGTGACATTTAGTTTCTTCACTGGAAGAAACTAACTATCCAAACGTACAGGCACCAAATGTTCAGCCGACCCCCCCAAATAATACATTTGCTTTATAAAGATACTCTCTCTTAAAATAAAACCCACATGTTAAGGAGCTGATGGTGCCATTACTCTCTAAATTTTTAACAATTCCTAGCTTAGTATAGATTTTGAGTCTGATAACCCGTTAATGGGCTAGCAATCAGTAATGGACAGCACAGCACTGTGCTATCCCTAGAGCAAACCACAGAGGAGCCTGTGACTAAGGGAATCACTGTCTCAATTCTATTCTCCCCACAGCTCCAAGGAAGCATCAACTGTGCCAGACATATTCCACCTGCAGCATGCAGTCTATGTCCCATCAAAGTAACTACCCACAGAGACAATGTTTGTCTATTCCTCTTCATCTCCTAACAAGAAATACAGCAGCTTAGGTGCCTGTATCCCCCTATTCAGAGGAAACAGTACAAAGTAGTAAGGCTCTTTCTGTTCCCTTGAGTAGGCATACAGAGGATGGCCACAAACTGGGCCTTCAGTATTTGCAGTAATAATAAACTCCATTTAACAAGAAAAGGATTAAAATGTGGTATTTAGTCTGTGGTTTCAAAAAATTCTAAACTTAACTCCTCTTTCAAATAATTTCTAAAAAGTTCTTCCTAACTAAATGTTCTTCCCAGTTATTGACGTTTCCTCAAAAACTAAAGGAAACAGGTCTTTCAATAAAATGGATGCAAAAATCATTAGTAACTAGCAAGAACAAAAATGCATCACTGAATGAGATTACTTATTGTGCAAATGAGTTTGCTAGGCTATAGCCTTCCAAAACATGCTTCTTCCACTGAATTAAATTGGATTTCTAACTGTGAAATGATCAAGGGATCAGACCACAAAATCCTTAATGCTACTCAAGTTCTCTTTCGCAACATAAAGGTACTAGAAAAAACAAATAAGGATTTTACCCCAAGAGCATATTTTCAGAGCCCAGTAGCTAGCATCTTCAATAAAATCTTTTATTTATACCAAGCTTTTGCATATTCCCTAGTATGTATTTTGCATAAAGGGGACTGAATTCTATAGTCTTTTTTTCTTCCTTCTTTGGTGTTAAATCACTGCACTGTTTCCAAATATCCTTCTTAAGTAGGAAGGAAAAAGCCCACTGTCTAAGCACTAAAACAACACAAATATCAGGTCCTCTCCTCAGATGTCAAGGTTATAACCATAAGGTTATATACCTGGCTTCAGCTGCCCATTAATGATTATGACTCCGCATGCCTGCTGAAAATAAAGAATGACTAAGATAATCTCCATTCATATGTTAATACAAATGTTACAGTATTTGTGAGGGTTTTTTAATTAAAAACAGAAAAGGGTAGGTTGGAGATTAGGAGGAACATTATGACTATGAGGCTGGTCAGTCACTGGAACACTCTACCTAAAGAAGTTATGGAATAACTCCCTGGAAGTTTTTAAGAGCAGACTGGACAGATGGTTGTCTGGGATGTTTTAATTAGGGATGATCCTGCCTTCAGTAGGGAGCTGGACTCAACTTCGTGAAATGCAGCCCTACTTTCCAATGATCCTATAAGTAACAAAATCTGAATAACTAAAATTTATGATGATATCACAATTCAGTTAGATATAAATAATTTTAAAAAATTAAAGCAGCTATCAGTGGATTATGTTAAACTGCTCACATCACACACTATGCAAACAATGCGCATCTCCCTAATTTGAAGTCATTATTAACATATGCTAAAGTAAAGTGATTGAAACATAATCCTTACTACCATAATTGTAGATTAGACAGCACCAGGAAAATATCTAATTTAACAAAACTGATTCCCTAATTTAATAAAAAGAAAAAATGAATAACCATTTTTAATCTTATCCATTAGAGATAAAACAATGAAATAACTTCTGCATTCACAGGAAAATGATCAAAGTGGTAAGAAGAGATTTCAAAAGTAAATAACATCATGTACAAAAAAACCAGGCAATGTTATTAGAGGCAAATAACATAACTGATACTAAATGAAAATGCATTCATATTAGTCTGAGTTTCCTGATTTATTAGTCAATACATTCCCTATCAGTACAGGAAACTAAGAAGGATTTATTTAATGATATTTGACAGCACTTTCACTTGAAACATTTTCTGTTTTTTTACTTACTATATCATAGTTTTGTTCATAAAAAGTAAAATCAAACAACACCATTACATGAATGTTTATTTTGTACCTTGGAAGACCGAAAACAAAATGCTGTAGATTTCACATCAGCTTTCTCTTTGTCTGTGAGAAGGAGACTCTTGTCATCCAGGAGGCTCAAATACTTCCCTGTTGTTATATGCCTTAGTCTGAATGGCTGTCCCCATCTGCTGTGGCTTCCACTCCACCTAAAAAGACAAGTTCAGAGGAGAAATCTTAAACTCAGAGGATAAATCTTAAACAAAATACAATGTTCAAAACTGAGACCACTATTAAACATTCTGAAAGTTCATCGATTCAGGGTAGCTGCAAAATCATCTTAATGTTACCAAAGATGCCCAGTCTTCCTTCCCAATAATTAGCAGAAAAAGCTACTATTTACCTGTCTCACACAGACTAATTCTAACAGCCAAAAGGAACAACCCCTTCCCATACTTCAGTGTAAAGACCTTTTGGGAGAGGAAGCTGCCAACAGCTTAGTGCTCCCAAAAAACCCATACACTAATAACCTAATAATCATTCAAAAATTGATTTCAAGAACTAGTCTATCTAAGTAACCCATTGAACACCAGAGAAGAGTTACCTGCTATTATAAAATATAAGCTGATATCAAACAACTCTCCTCCTTAATATTTTATTATCCACTTAGAACTAGATTTTCCTAGCCACCCAGAGCATTTTCCCCTGCAGAGGTTTGTACAGTCTGTGTAGATATTCTCCTCAGATGCAATATTCACAAAATAATACCAGAAAAGAACAAACAAGCAAAGGCCTACATTAAGTCTTCAAATTTTAGAAGAAATAGAAAGGAAAATGAAGTATTCCAACTCAGTTCACTAGCCTTTCAATGAAAATATAGAGACAGAAAGTTTTTAGCTTTCTGCTTCAGACTGAAAGCATGAAAAACTCAGCTATTCAGAACAATTTCTAAAGGACACTCCTGCACAGAGATTACTATGTAGAAGAATACTTTACTATGAAATAGCCCAACGTCATCAATTACTGTTGAATCTAACCATTGCATTACTGCTACCTTTAGCTTCCTCTTAAACTTTAAAACCTTATGTTTTTTAAATGATGCCAGGAAGAAAATTCTATACCACATCAAGAGGCAGACAAGGTTCTTTGGGTAAATCTGTTATCTTTTATTAGACCACCTTAAATAATTGGGAGATCATCCTGGATGCCTGGGATGACGAACAGTGGGTCTAGACCTTCTGCGTGAGAACAACCATCTTCATGGACATCATTGTCCAGCTGACTCCCCACAACATGCACCAAGATGTCAGCATGAAGCCACCCCTCACTCCAGAAAAGTGGATGGCCATTGCCACCGTGAAGCTGACTACCCCAGCAGTCTCTGCTATGTCACCAGCAGTTCAGCACTGGCACACCTATGGTCATGGAGGCCATCCAGGAAGTGTGCCTCGCCCTCTGGAATTTCCTGGCCAACTGCTTCATCCACCTCATCAACCCACAGAATGTTGCTGACTAGAGCTGCACAAAATGTCAACAGCCATTTCATTTTGGAGGTGTTTCGGGCCTTTTTAGCACCTAAAACACCAAATCTGAATCAAAGCAGAAGATTCCAAAACAGATCCAAAATGAATCAGAAGGCTCTAAAACATTTTGGAAATATTTTGAAGAATTTAAGAATTTCAGAGCTGGGCTTGCAGGGAAACAAAAACTAAGGAGGGGGTGGGAGGGAAGAGAAGTACTGCTCTGATATTGTCATCTAGCTCCCGGTTCGATTCTCCAGCTCTCTGATCTCTTCCCCCAGTTCTCTAATCCTTTTCCCAGCTCTTCCCAGGGGGTGCAGAACCCTGATCTGTGTGGGGGGTTTCAGCAGGCTGCCGCTCAAGCCAACCACCAGGAAGACTGTGGTGCTGCCACTGGCCCCAGCCTGCAGCAGCAGTCTGCTGAAGCCCTGTGCACAGATCGGGGGCCTGTGCCCCCTGGGAAGACTTGGGGAAATGATCAGAGAGCTGGGGAATCAAGCCAGGGGCTTGGGCATCCCTGCTGCTTGACTTGGCTCCACAGCGAGCAGACATCCAGCTGGGGTCTCCTTGGAGCAGTGCGGGGCTGGCAGCAGCAGCAAGGAGACCCTGGTGCAGATCTCTACTCCCTGCAGAGCCAAGTCACATGGCAGGGACCAGCAGGCTTGCTCGCCACTCTGCGCTGCTTCCCTGACCCATGACCCTGCATGACAGGGATCAGAGATGCATGCAGGGGTCTCCTCACCTGCATGGAGGGCAGTGACTCTCCCCCTCCCCTGGATGAGCCACTCATGGTCCCATCTCTCTCCCTGCTGGTGCCCTGCAGCCCCTGGCCCCAAGCCCTGCACAGCTGGGAAGGGCTCTACAAAGCTTCCTTTGCAGCCCATTCGAAACAGGGTCGAAGGAGACTCAGCAGAGCCAAATCTCCAAAACAGATTCAGCCAAATCGAAACAGGACAGTGATCCAAAACACTGAAATGAATCACTGTCCTCTGAAATCAAAATGGCTGTGTTTCAATTCGGTTTTGGATTTGGCACACGGCCCTATTGCCAACTTCCACTGTATGGGCTTCCCCAACTATGTGGGGACCATGGACAGCACCACATCCCCATCCTCTGCTTGCCCCAAGGTGCCAAAGCACCATCAGCTGCAAGGCCTACTAATTCATTGTGCTCTGCGGTATTGTCAGACACCAGGGCCACTTTACCCACATCTTCACTAGCTGGGAGGGCAGTGCCCATGGTCCCCATGTCTTCCAGAGCAAGCCCCCCACTGATGTTGGGGGCACCAGGCCACACAATGGCAGGGAGTCTGTGTCTGCAAAGCCCTGGCTGACTCTTCCTGGACCTTGGGCAGCTGTGGGGCCTGTGGGGGGAGGCATCTGCATGGCAGAAGGCATCACCACAGCAGAGGTGCTCCCTCAAGGGATCTTCAGCCCTTCTCCCTGGGCCCGTAGGGCCTGGTCTCCCCCTTTGGGGACCCCAACTCTAAGGCCCTCAGCCACACCTGAGGCCTAATTCACACAGCAGGGCCAAACACCAGATTGTCCATCCCTGCCATGACTGAGGCACTCCTCCACAGTGGGTCCCAGGCCAGGAGAGGGGCCACAGGGAGGGGAAAAGACATGTCAGATGGATGAACTGAGACAGAAGGGTTCTGATGCCAGCCGCTCTCCCAATAACAGCCTTCCCTGGCAAGCTGGTGAGCTACACTCACCCCCCAGCTCCCACACCCCACTAGGAATGTCCTGGAACTGCCTGGGGGACATACATACATGGCATGATTAGGGGGTTTGTGGTGGGGGAGCTCAGATTGGCTCAGGTATAAGGGCAGTGTCATAGACAGCCCTGCCCTGGGGCCCCAGGCATCCTGGCCTTGCTCCCCTCACCCAACACCATGGGCTATGCCAGGTACCTTTCTGCTTCCCCTGACCACAGTTCACCAACTCCCTTGTCCCATTCTTGTAGCTCCCAGTCAGGGTCCAGTGTAGACAGTTAGCCCTACCTGGCACCCAGGGGTCCCTCCTGTGGAACCATTACACCAGAAAACTCCCTAGAGCAGGAAACAGCATGCTGTTGGGAGCTAGATGGCAGGCTTTCTCTGCCATCCCCAGCTTGGGGTCTTATGGGCTCTCTGTGAGAGGCAGCACTGGTGGCAAAAAGGAGTGTCATAAGTCGCTGCAAAGCAGCCCAGGACTCTATCCATAGATGCCCTCTCCTGGCACTGGACTCTGCCAGGTCTGCAGAGGTACAGGTTGACTCCTCAGAATGGTGGGTGGCCATCTCAAGCCCCCGTTCCCACACCTCAGCAGCCCAGGTATGGGCATCTTCCAGTCAGAGGATGTCCCCCTTAACATCTGGAGTCTCTCCTCATGCCACTCCTGCAGCTCCTGGTGCCAGGAGTCAACTGTGCATACCCAGCACTCAGAGATGATGATCAAGGCCTGCAGCATTTTCTTGCTTCTTTGATGCTCCCTATGGACAACCCTCAAGCACTCTGCAGCTGTGGGGCCTCTTGTCCTTGAGCTGGCATTGCATCCTCCGTCCACTATCCACTTGCACAGGTGATGTTTTTGTAGTTTGAGAGAGGAGATATAGAGCCTTTGTTTGAAGTTGCAACTTCTGCTGATAAAATGAAATATAAGGACAGGAGGTCTCAGAGCCTGTGGCAGAAGACCACCCCTGTTTCTCCCCAAAAACTCTGCTCTGTGACAATTCCATTAGGATGGGCCCAGCAGAGGATACACACCTTACCCTATCTCTTTAGATAACCTGAGGGAGGGAGGAAACCTGCTCCCTCTGCCTACGTGACTGGTATCACATACCTGGGTGACGGGCTTGCTCCCTGGGGAGCTAGGAACTTCCAGTCTGACTAGCAACTAGTAATGTGTTTCAAAGTGGTTGGCTGACAGCCAACAGGTGCTGGCCTCCATTGGACCAGGTAAATGAGGTCACAAGGGCTATATAAGTCAAGGACTGCCCAGGAGGAGGGGGCAGCAGCCATGAGGGAGACTGAGAGAGAGAAGAGCTGAACCATCTGAAATTTGCTCTCTCTCTCAAAACTCATGATCAAGGAACTGCCTGCCTCCAGAGGAAATCTCCAACTGCCTCTGGATGATACTTGTGAGTAAGCTACCTGAGACCTAATGAGATATATAGCTTGCAGTAACTCAGATGCATGATCAAAGTCTACCCAGCCATGGGAGTTTTCTCTATGGGATTTCTCTGATATTGCTCTAGCCTGTACCCTATTCTAACCCTACCCCTTGTAACCAATAAAGTTCTCCTTTGTACCTAGTGTGGGAGACTTATTGGGAGTGGGTCTAGATTATGCCTTGGGGTCCCCTTGGCTCAGCTGACTAAAGGAGACCACTACTTGTGCTTTTGACTGAGGGAAGCATCCCAAGTTCTTGAAGTGCATCAAGTACCCTCGAGCCCTACTAGGCCTGTGTTTCCCAGGGTGCACAGAGCCAGAATCAAGCCCAGCCCTGGGTAGTGGCAGTGGAACCCCCAGGCTAGTGGGTGTGCTCCAGAAAGGGGGTCGGCCAGAGGTGAGGTGTCCCCAAGGAAGACAATCAGAGCCTGGAAGGCGGTCAGGCACAGTGAGGTGGTTGGCTCAATGCAGGAACGCCCCCTACTGGCCCACCACAGAGCCTTCCAGCACTTACCTGGGTACTCATGCAGAAGTGACA